TTGAGACAGAGTCTCTCTTTGTTGCCCAGGCTGGAGTGCAATGGAGCGATCTCGGCTCACTGCAACCTCCGCCTCCCAGGTTCAAGCGATTTTCCTGCCTCAGCCTCCCGAGTAGCTGAGAATACAGGTGTGTGCCACAATGCTATTTTTAGTAGAGATGGGGTTTCACCATCTTAGCCAGGATGATCTCTATCTCTTGATCCTCCTGCCTCGGCCTCCCAAAGTGCTGGGCTAACAGGCGTGAGCCACCGTGCCCGGCCCTATATTGGGATTTTTAAATTAAGATTTATAATTTTGAGACAGGATAGTTCCCTTTATCCCCTTCATGGGCGGGAACCGGAGTGGCTCGTTGCACTCAGCCCAGTGCTGGCCACTACTCGCGGGAGGGAGTGTGCAAGCAAGAGAGCCAGTGTGGAAACGAGCGAATGAACTGGCCAGTCGCTACTCTCTGGCAGGTGCAGGCTCTGCGTGGGCCTCACGGCAGCGTCCAAACATGTTATAACCAGTGCTCTTCCATCTTTGCAGCCCAGAACCGGCAAGTGCCAACCAGCTCAGTGGCGGGTCAGAGTGGCAGCCCCTGTCCTCTCCGCACCCAGTTCTTGTTCAGGGTCCAGGAAGAGTCAGGTCACACGAACTGTTTGAAAGGTGATGAATGCAGAAGACAATTGAACAGTGGGTGGCTCTCAGCGGAAAGGGAGGCTGGAAAGGGGATGGGAAGGTGATCTTTCCTTGAAGTCCGGCTATCTCTTGCAGGCCCCTATCCGAAATCGCACTGTCTCAAGTTAGCCAAATTCCGTAGTCTCTGATGCTCAGCAAGCAGCTTGTATTCTTGACACTCAGGTGCTTGTGTTGCTCTGCTAGCTGAAGTCTTTTATGGGCACAGGATAGGAGCAGGGCAGGCCAAAAAGGCAACATTTCGGCTGAAAAATGGGGTCAACTGTTTTCACTTAAGATAAGCTTAAGGGTGGGGCTTAGCCGGGATCCCAGCCCTTCTGTGTCAGTTTGACTTTAAAACCTGCAAGCACATTATGTAGCCTCACTAGGGGTGTGTGTGTGTACACACTTTAGGGCAAGCTTAAGGGTGGGACTTAGCTGGGATCCCAGCCCTTCTGTGTCAGTCCTTCATTATGTAGCCTCACTAGGATGTGTGTGTGTGTGTGTGTGTACACACATACTTTAGGGCAAGCTTAAGGGTGAGGCTTAACTAGGATCCCAGCCCTTCTGTGTCAGTTTGACTTTAAAACCTGCAAGCACATTATGTAGCCTCACTAGGGGGTGTGTGTGTGTGTGTGTGTGTGTGTGTGTGTGTGTGTGTACACACATTTTCTTCCCACATACTATTATTGAGCCGTTTAAAGATTTGTAATTGACAGACTTTTGACACTTTCAGTAAGTTAAGAAGAAAACATGTTTTAACCACCCTTTCTTGTGATTGCACAACTGTCCTAGGAGTGCATAGTGAGGGAAGTACTGCTAATACCTACACAGCACATCCGCATCAACAAGCTTTGCTTTACTTTGGTGCAATTTTTGGAAAAATGAAAACCTGATCTTCCCCCCCCAAAAAAATATGTTTTGATTGCTTTTGCTGATGACATGTTGAAACATATCCTATGGCAGATGTGAACTGATGACATAGCAGAAAAACTCAGCAGTGGGAGTATCCTCATTTCACACTAAATCCAGGCACAAATCCAAATACAGCAGTAAACATTGCATTTGCCATCAACTGAGATATTACCAAGTAAAGTTGTATTTAGGACCAGGAAACTTTTTCAGCTATTTAATAGTATGTTAATAAATAGGTAGCAGGAGTAATTGGGATATTTCATTATTTGTATGTAACTGTTTTTTGGCCAGGCACGGTGGCTCATGCCTGTAATCCCAACACTTTGGGAGGCTGGGGTGGGTGGATTGCTTGAGCTTGAGAGCTCAAGATCAGCTTGGGAAATATGGCAGAACCCCATCTTTACCAAAAATGAAAAAAACTAGTTGGGTGTGGTGGCGCAGGCCTGTAGTCCTATCTACTTGGGAGGCTGAGGTGGGAGGATCACTTGAGCCTGGGAGGTTGATGCTGCAGTGAGCCCTGATTGTGCCACTGTACTCATGCCATACCCCGAGATCCTGTCTCAAACAAAAACATATGTAATTTTTTTTGTCTGCTGAAATCTCATCTGAAAGTAATTAGTAGAATAACAAAATTTCTTTAATACTACATGTCGGGGGTTATCAAAATTTTGCTCCAAGTCAGTGTATACTTGGTTTTACATATTTGCATATATAATGGTTTTCTTTTGTAATTTTCTTTTTCTTTTTTTTTTTTTTGAGAAAAGAGTCTCACTCTCTTACCAGGCTGGAGTGCTACATTTAGGGAGAATAGGAAACCAAGGGAAGTTATGATGAGGGTACATTAAATTAAAAAGAGGATCTTGGGAGGAGGTAAGAAGTATGAGAAAGAGTGGTTAGAAAAGTTAGAGCATGAGGAGACAGTGAAATTGGTGAAGCCCAGGAAATAAAGTGGTTCAAGAAGACAAAATGATAAATGGGAAAATGCTTTTTAGTAGCCAAAGATGCCTAGAAAATTATGTTTCTCAGGGCCGGGCGCGGTGGCTCAAGCCTGTAATCCCAGCACTTTGGGAGGCCGAGGCGGGTAGATCACGAGGTCAAGAGATCGAGACCATCCTGGTCAACATGGTGAAACCCCGTCTCTACTAAAAAAAACAAAAAATTAGCTGGGCATGGTGGTGCGTGCCTGTAATCCCAGCTACTCAGGAGGTTGAGGCAGGAGAATTGCCTGAACCCAGGAGGCAGAGGTTGCGGTGAGCCGAGATCGCGCCATTGCACTCCAGCCTGGGCAAAAGGAGTGAACCTCTGTCTAAAAAAAAAAAAAAAAAAGAAAATTATGTTTCTCAATAAATAGGTCACATGCATTTATGTCTATAACTTCTTAACTGTTAATTTCACAACTGAGTGATGAAATGATACAGTTAGCCCAATGCTTGACATAGTAAGCACTTAATGAGTATTATTTATCTTTACTTCCATCTGTCGTTGTTCACTTATTCCCTCAATATAGAAAACTGAGAGTTGTCCTTGAATTTTTTCTTCTCCTCAATCCAAATAAGTCAATTACTGGGTCTCACTGATTATACTTCTATGTGTATCAAAAATACACTTCTCAGGCCGGGCGCGGTGGCTCAAGCCTGTAATCCCAGCACTTTGGGAGGCCGAGGCGGGTGGATCACAAGGTCAAGAGATCGAGACCATCCTGGTCAACAAGGTGAAACCTCGTCTCTACTAAAAATACAAAAATTAGCTGGGCATGATGGTGCGTGCCTGTAATTCCAGCTACTCGGGAGGCTGAAGCAGGAGAATTGCTTGAACCCAGGAGGTGGAGGTTGCGGTGAGCCAAGATCGCGCCATTGCACTCCAGTCTGGGTAACAAGAGCGAAACTCCGTCTCAAAAAAAAGAAAAACAAAAACAAAAATACACTTCTCATGTTTATTCCAACTGTTTCTCTCTTTGCTCACGTATATAGGCTTTTCTGCATTATTTTTCCCTTTGCCTGTAAGGTCGTGTTCACCCTGGCCTCACCAAGACCTTGTACTTGGCTCAAGTAGCACCCCTTTGTAAATTTTACCTGAATATCTCAGCCAGAATTAGGGATTTCTTTCACAGTGCTCTCTTAGCAACTAGTAGAGATTTCATTTGAGGCACTTAATTTGTAATCATTTATTTGTGTGCCTTTTAAATAAAATATTGCCATTCAGGGCCAGTGTTCTAAATATGTTTGTTTTCTACCTCCCATATTGTTACATGGTAACGTGATGAGTTTTCAGTTAACAATATGTTGAATAATAGAATAAGTGAAAATATTTACACATATAATATTTGTATAACTAAAAATAGATGTCTGATGAGTTTGGTGATTTCATTGAGGGTGCACTTAGTCCATTGTCCGCGTGAGTTGAAACTTTAAAAATTAATGTAAAAAATAGGGTAAAATGTGGTAATGGTACAGAAATATATTTTGGAGGTACTTTTTTTTTTGAGCCAGAGTGTCTCTCTCGTCAGGCTGGAGTGCCGTGGCTCAATCTTGGCTTGCTGCAACCTCTGCCTCC